AAAAAAAAAAAAAAAAAGAGAAGTGTTGCAGTACCTGTTGGTCTTGTACGGTCTGGTTCTTGCAACATAATCCAAGATCTTGGAGGTGGTTGTTCTGTTGAAACTATGGGAACATTTTAGAGACACAACAAGTGATAATCCCATTTATTTTACGCAGCAGAAATAAATGTTTTAAGAATGATCACTTACTTCTTTTTGCAGTACCTGCCAAATTATCAAGCAAATAGTTCAGTAGCCTGCGCGTCCCATCTGGTTCCTGATAAAGGTTCAGAATATCCTGTGTAAGTGGATTTCCTGCAAACACATTTACAGAAATATTGAATAAAATAAACAGAACCATTATGAACTTACGTATCAGTGTTTAAAGCTGGCATCTCTGAGAAAAGATACTGCATCTACTATGAACTACTTAAAGGTTTCAAATCCCAGGTCTTCAATCCCACAAAACACGGGATGCGTGAATAGCTCTAGTGAAGTTAACCACATTCCCTCCTGCGTCTGTCTTCTGATTGACCACCCCAAGGGCGGTTGTTGGATTCGACAGCAGTGAAGAACTGGAGCGGTACAACATGCAGGCGGAGCTGATGAGGCCAAATGCAGGAGCCACCTCTGCCCGCTTTGCTCGATGCGAGTGAAACATCCACCAGCAGTTTATTTGCCAGTCATATCTGAGTAGAGAGTCTACCATCTGCCAAATGCATAAGCAGATTGTAAAAGCTTTCACGGACAATGTACATTGCAATTATCCAGTTTTAAGGGGGAGAAAAACAGACTTTTGAAACTTAACAGTGTTTAGAGGTATTGCATCACTCAGCGCTCCTGATTTTGTGATAGAAGTTTCCCTGAGGTCAGCAATTTTATAGCTAGAATCCATACAGTTCAGAGAGAAAAAAAAAAAATTGGAAAAAGATTTAAATTGCTGCTTGCACGAACAGCACAGTACCCTACAGCAGTACCAAGCACGTTCCCTTTTTGGTTGGAGTAGAAACAGTCTGCAGTGAACTGTAGGTATTCAAAGTTAAAGCAGCACCTTATTCAACCCCTATGCAACCAACAGAAAGCTTCCGCTCACCCTGCAGAAAGAGAAGCAAACCTCTTTGTATGTGGAATGCTTCGCCAAACTCATTCTTTTTCTTTTTTAAAATAATCCCTAAATAACAATATTTATAAATGTGGAGTAAGTAGCTACGTCTGGGATTGCTATTCAGTAACATTTTATGAACTAGCAGTCTACAGCCTTTACATCTCAGAAGCGATATCATTAAACAAAGCACAGATACCAAGAAAAAGTAGTAATACCTTTCAGACCCAAAGTCTGTAACTGGAACAGTTTTCCCAGCTCAAAAGGTAAAACTCGTAACAGGTTGTTATTTAAATGTAGTTCCCTGTAGACAGAGCAAGAATCATATAGGGCTGAAAACAGACCAACATTTGCCTTCAGCAGTATAGTACAAGAAGTTTAACTAAACGAGAAACAATATACTAGCAAACCACAATACTGAAAAACTCAAAGGCTCAACAGCCATAGTTAGGGAAATCCTACTGTACTCAAACACACACACATAGACAAGATACGTATTATGTTGAAGTACAGGGGAAAGTAGCTGTTTGGCAAATTCACCTTAAAAGGTCAGAAGTTTTGTAAACATTAGCCATAATTAAATACTTTAATAACTACAAGTGATGAAGCAGTAACAGCTCTGACAAACCAGACCATGAAATAGTTCAGCTATGATTAAAGGCCAAATAAAGGGAAATTATATCCCAGAAAACAAATAAGCAAAAAATCCAGGATCATGGCAGTACAATTAGAGCTATGACATTACCACGTAATAGTCATTTACAATAGTAATTTTCTGTTAGGGTTTTTTTCATCATTTCAGCGTTAAGACAAAATACATGCTTTTTAACTTACAAAACCAATATGCAGACAGGAACAGAATTCATGTCCTGAATTCTGATATCCCAACAAACTGGGCAGAGAAAATGGCCTTGTTAGGAGCTTTTCACTTTCTTAAACGCATTCCCATCTAAGCAGTGAAGACTTTCCTCACCATATTCAATATAAAGTTGCTACTTCAAAGTGTTTACAACTTGGTGCCTAGAGACTTGAAAAGCATTTCGGGGCAACAAAAAAGGGAAATAGAAAGAAAAAAGGTAAAAAAAAAAAAAGGAGAAAGGAAACATGGATGCCAAGAGTTACCTTAGCTCTTTTAGATTGCTACAAGACAGCATTTGAAGCAAAGAGACACAATTCTTCTTCTAGCCTTGCATTTAAAGAGTAAACTCTGCCTGGTCCTTCCCTAACAAGGACTTCCTGAGAAATTCCCTCCGTTTCACTGCGTATTCAGAAACCTTGGTAGAAGTAAAGTGGCTTTGTTTTAGAGACGCTCTGGGGTGTGGAACAGTGGAAGAAGATACAGGAGGGGACTTACTTTTTATTTCACTGGGTTATCTAGAAATGTCATTACTCAACTGATTACCAGACTATAACACACCTAGCCAACCGGGGGTTTTGGGTTTTTTTTTCCAATATAAAATCCCATAGACAAAAGCACATATTTTAGAGAGAAACTCAGAAGCCCACGGTGTCATTCTAGGGTTTCTAAGTATGAATGAGGCACATGGCAGACAGAAAAGAGGATGGGGGGGTTAAAAAAAGAAAAAAAATCAACATCTCCACTAGTTCTCAGCACTTCCACAGACATTTGAGATGTAAATGGCTATTATTTTTAGGGATGATATTCTATATGACATTATAAAGCTACTAGTTTATTCTTTAGGAAGCTACTTTTTCCTCTAAGAGTTTTTCAAAGCACTGCTGAAGTCTAAAAGAAGTTGTGTATGAATTACAAAAAAATATATTAAATTCTTCTAGAGGAAAAACACTGAGCTGCAAGAATGGCACAGTAGTAGGTATCGCTACACTTTCTCTCTTGGATGAAAGAATTATTTTCTCTAATGATCCTTGCCTCTGCGGAACCCGCCCCCTCTACACAGCAAAGGGGATCACAGCAAATCCCACTAGTTCTCTCAAGCATATCAAGAGAATCTGTTTTACAGCTGAGCTTTCCAAGGTAACATCTTATAGTGTTTATTTTTTCTCCCCTTTCCGCAAAGATCAGAAATCTTACTGCTCTCTCCGACACCTCTTTCTTCAATTACCTGCAGTAAAAAGGGAGATGCAAGGAGCCTTAGGCAAGCTTTGCCGTACAGAGCAAACCCAGAGCTCCAGATGTGGGAGCTGGAAGACCTGTTATCAATTCTCACGTGTGAGAGCACAAATGATTTCTGCGGCTCAGAATATCAGCCATGCCCAGTGTTGAATTACCCTTAGTCTGAACAACTTCCCAGAAGCTATGGGAAGTGTCTGCAGTAAGAGCCAGCCTGAAACATGAAACTCCAGCACAGCTGAGACCTGCAGAGCGCCATCACGTAGGATGCACTTACGGGTTTTTCTTCACTTTCACCCCAGTGAAAAGAAATCATGGATCAGCTGCAATTACTGAGGACAGAAAGCGCAGTGGATTAATGCACTAGCTTTTCACATCTAGAGATCTGGACTCAAGTGTTACGTTTAGCTCACAAATAGAAGAGTAGTGTGATCCTAGATCTTTGCTACGTGTTTCACATTCACAAGATTTAGCCTTCTCTACTCGGAAGAGACTTAGGACTTGGTAGAGCTGAAGCTTCATAGAATCAGCAAGAATAAATTGGGAAAAGCGTTGGGAAGAAGAATATCTTTTGACACTACTGATGACTATACAGTGCTAAGCTAACTCCATGTCATGAGTGTCACATTTACAGCAATATTTTAAAAGGAAAAAGACCGATGAAAATAAAAGAATGCTCATGAAGTACAAAGGTGAATTTGAGACTATTCCAGTAAATTTAGGATTGCTAGCTCACAATACTTGAGGAGTGGATAAAGGAGGGAAGAAACCTGTTACTAATAACTGCTTTTAATTGAAATAGTAACGCAAAGCTTTCTTTAGAACAGACTGCTTCACAGCTGAAAACAACTGCATGACACACTATGAAACGGAGCTGCCAATTATGCTCTAAAAAGCAACGCTGCTTTGCTCGGCCTCCAAGGTTGAGACTTTAACTGCTTTGGAATTTGAGCTTTTAGTACCAATTTAATCAGCTAGTTTAATCCTCCCCAACAGGGTGGACTTTTCTAAAGTAGAAGAAAATGCAGCAACTGATATTTCTATGTGCAAACTTGCTTTGCTTCCACAGTTTCACTAAAGCTGTGCTGGCAGTCCATTTATCTATTATCATCTTCTTTACTTCTAATAACATTCTCGTTGCCTTTAGACTCAGTGGTTTCTGGATTTGAGAAAGCTGTCCATAAATGTCTTCAAAATTAAAAGCAATGAAAGCAATTACTGGTGACTGTCTAATAAACCTAAGATAAGGCTCTTCCTTTGGATCAAGGGCAAAAGAATGTTGCCCGTAAGTATTTACTCTCATATAAATAATTTATATGTTTACATAACAGTGTTTTTACAAAGTGAAATGCTGCAGCCTTAATTATAATCTAAATAGGCATCACTACTCATGTTTCGCTTCCAAAAGGAGGTATTATTCCATGCAAACTTTGCACATCTTGGCACTGTAAAATTGGGAAAAAAAGAAGGTGCTTTTAGAACATTTTTTTTCTCCTCCCCAGTTTGCACAGGAATGCAGTTACATGATAGCAAAGGTGGGAAGGAGATGATATTAGACAAGTTGCAGTTGTTATAAAATAAACAGAGTAAGAACTATCGTTAAGAATAATTACTAAAGAGTAATAAAGAGGAAAAAAATGTAGTTAGCATGATTATGATTGTTTAATCTGTCCTTTTCCTACCTTACTATGAGTTAAAAGCAATTATTTTCGTGCATCAGTATTTCTTACAGAAAAATGCCACGTCAAGATTTGTAAAAGAGTCTGGGAAGAGATGCATAAGAGAGGAAATCTGTCTTGGAAAAATATAAAATGGGTGATTGCTATCAAACTGAGCACTTGTGAAGCTCATTCCATACTGTCATATATCGGAACAGGAGATCACAGAAAAGCCAGCATTGCTATAGCTGCACAGACCATACCAAGTATTCAGGGAGACACATAAAAAGAAGTGAGGAAGGGGGAATTTATTTATGCTTTTCATTTACTAGAATGCAAAAATTATGCTGAAATTTAAACTGTCGCTACAAAGATAATAGAACAATTTTAACTCCTGTTAAAATTTACATACCTGAGTGACACCATGTTTCCGAGCTCTGCTGGTAAACTGCGAATTTTATTAGAGGACAGGTCCAGATATACCAGATTGTGAAGCTTAGCAATATCTGAAGGAATACGGGATAAGGAATTGTCACTGAGATGCAAAGCTGTCAAATGGGTCAGTGTCCACAATGACGAACTTAAGCTTCTCACTTTCCCTGTGGAAGGAAGGTACAAAAGAAAATAGAACATTTAAAATATATAGGTTTAGCAATAATTACACCTTTTGTAAATATGTATGTATGGGGCAGTGGGGGGGGGCTTGAGGGGGAGTTTTGTTTGGTTTTTTGTTGGTTTTTATCATTATTATTTTATTCAATGAAAATTCCATTAATAGCTGATTCTATAGATCAAAAAAATTCAGCAACGCATAAGAGAATGTAAGGTATTGCCAGGGATGCTTAAGACTGTTTTTCTCCAACCCATACTTAAGGTTTAAACATCTGTCTTTCTCAAGTTCCACACAAAACAAGACATATTTACTAACTGACCATGAATTCAATAATTAACATAGGTGTAAGAAACAGATTTTTTTTCAATTACAGTTTATATTTGGGATGAAAGATGCTTCTTCAGTTTGCCTCCTGTTTCTGTGCAACGTCTTTCAAACCAAAAATCTATATTCTATGGCATTAATCCAGCCAAGAACAGATAGAAGCACTATATTTAGGGTGACTAAAACGCTTAGTTGAGAACATGGATTTCCATCTGGCATTCAACTAAAAGCTGCATAAACTACTGCCAGATATTTAAAAAAACGGTATGATTTTTGTATAAACTGAAGGGTGGAAACATGGATTTGTGTGACAGAATCAAGATTTTTACATTGCCGCATGCAAGGAATGTGAGATATCATCAGAAGGTCTCAAAACATTTCTTCTCTCCAAAATTTCTTTCCCCCCAGGAGTGGATCCTCTTTCATTTACAAAGTCATCTCACTGTACCAAAGCATTATAAGAAGAGTACCAACATCAGTTTGTCCAAGGCAAAAAGGTACTTGCGACAGCCTTTAAAAACCCCACCATGACTCACCAATATTAAGAACAGTCTGGTTAATATTATACCAACATACACACATTGTAATTCCTTTCCCTAAATGATTTTCTTCAAAATAAAAGAAGTCATATTTAGTGCCTGGGGAAAGCTACACCAATACACGTGTATCTGGGACTCAGTCCCTGGTAACAAAAGGTTTAATATAGGTATCATTTCAGTGAGCTATAAGAAAGTGAGTGGCATAAAAAAGCCTGCAGCAAAAAAGCTCAGTGATTTAAATGAGAGAAGTTACAACATTTGTGGCTTTCTGTATTAGATGACCAAGTATTTTGCAAGGAAAATACAGTGCGAACATTAATAAAACAAAAAACATTGTCACATTTTATTTTGCAAGGCAAATGCATACAGTTCTTAAAGGGTTCATGCTACTGTAATGCTCATTAAGAAATCTTTTGAAAGGTTTTAAATACGAATCAACAGTTTTCTGCATTTTATTAATTAACACCTCTTCCCCCTGCCCGCCCAATGCAAACAGGTGACTGTGATCAAAGAAACCCTTGTAGCTGAAAGGATTTCCAATCAACATCACCCATCCATCCTCTTCACTACCTGCACCTCTCCTGGCTGGAATCAGCCTATAGTGAGATTACCAGGCACGAAAAGAAAGAGCCATCACTTAATGCATTTCCTTATGCAGAGGCAGCAGATGTCCAAGTGGATATCCAAGCCTAATGCTGATATATAATGCTGATTTCTGAAGCAGCATTTAACTAGGTTTCTGCATCTGTAACCTTCAAGTAAAGAATGCTATTCACATGTTAAGGCACGTGGCACTTGAAGCAAGACACAGATTCAATGATCTGGACGGAAAGACTCTTCACAATTCAAAGAACTCTATTTGTATTCCTCCTTCCATAAATTTCTCTGTTGGACAGTCATTTAGAAATACCACATGGCAATTTTTGCAGTCTCTTAAAGAACCTCCATATTTATGCAAAATTTCAGCCTAAATTTACAACATCACAAAACACTTTTTAAATTCTTAAAATATTTGCTTGAATTTCCTTGTAAACACACTTTACGTAGCAAAATCAGAATTTACTCTACAAATCAAGAGAGACTGGTGTCCCACACCAGTTGGAATACACGTTTGTGAATTCCGAGCATTATCTTATTTTCAAGAAAAGATCTAAAAGTCAAACAGTACCTCAAAGCTAGCACAGTTCTTGGAGGATCTTTTTAATCTTTTTTTTTTTTTTTTTTTTATCAAGAACAGAGCAAAGATTTACAACCGCTTTTGAACTGGAAACTTCTGCTTCAATAGAAACCATACTGTCATGGACTAATACAACATTGTTGTTACATTACTTGCAGTAACAGCATACGTCTATATATAAATCCCAACTTCACCCTCTTCTCTTTGACAAACTGTATCTTAAATCCATGCTCTCACCCACCCCACCTTCTTAAAACACAAAGAGCTCACATCCCTATCCTCATCTTCCCAACTTTCCTACACATTATGATTCCCCACCTGCCTCAACTTACCTCTCCTACAGCTCCCTACATTATCCCAACCCAACCTCTTCCCTTGGCACACCCAAAGGCTGGCAGCTGCTGTGTTGGCGTGCTGGCTCACTTCAAGGTAGGTAACTCCACTCCAGACTTCTTGTCCAAGCCCATGCTACGTAGGCTACTCTTAACTTGCAATGAGTTCATAACTCAGGACCATTCCTCAGTTTCTTACCACTTATTTCCAACTCTGCCCAGTGTGATTTCTTTCCGTTGGCTGCTTCCTCTGAGGACATAATTGTGTACATCCTCCGTGGATCAGGTGGATCGTACTTTTCCTTGGGCATTCCTGTTGAGACAAAAAGACAAATAATTAATTAAGATATTATATACTGAGAATTCTTTAAAAGGTAATTTCCGTTTCAGTTAATTTTTGTATTGGACATTGGCTCCAAATACTTTTCAGAACTTCAGATAAAGATAACCTGTGCCCATTTACAAACTCCACTGAGTGGGAAAGACTGCTATAATACAGAAGAACACGGATTCCTGATGCTCCTAGAATGGCAGACGACAGCCTAACCCCCCACCCCATAATGTAACAAAATCTGTAAACCAACATAAACATTGTCCTGCCACCTTTCATGGGTATGTCACTGTGTCCTTCAAAATCAATCCATCCTACTGCAGGCTCTTGGTTCTTCAACAATGAAACTTCAAAAAGCCATGATGACCACTACCGGATTCCCCCTCATACAAACTATAAAGAAAACATTTGCTAGTAACCTTGACTATCTATCAGTTCCAGGTTTACTGCAATTCTCAACTTTTCACGCAATTCAGCATCCAAGAAAAGAATTAAGGTTTCAAAAAGATCCTCAGTTCTTTAAGTCTGAAAAATGATAGCTTTTAATCCAACCCTCATTCTACTCTTTTCAGTCTGAAAATATTGTACCTGAGATAGACATTTCTATCATTTTCTTCAGCCAGGTGTTTAACACTGAAATTTAACTCCATTTCTCTCACTCTCTCACGTTATTCCTGATAACTTTACAAGAAACAATTTTTTTAATGCCTTACCTCTTTTTACCATACCCAATCATGGACGATGAGAGAGAAGTGGCAAAAAATCCTCTCCAAAAAAACTCCTTCCTCTCAAAAAACTCCCCCCTCCTTCCAGCTTTCCTGTACATCAACATACTTGTACTATTTCACTGCAAAGGGGGGGAGGGCGGGGGGAAGGCATTCCTGGCTCCATAATAAAGCCCTGCGCCATAACCCTCCCTGTACCATGAGCTAGCGCTCTCCCCTCCCAGGAGAAATACATCTGGGTTTTAGTTAGCTTAAGAGGAAAACCAGCTTACACAGATTTTAAATAACTAAATCAATACTATATAAATTTACAAATTAGCTCCGTGTTTTCAAGTCACATAGGGCTTCCAATATAAATCGCATTTATCACAAATAAGAGTGATGCTTTTGCATTGCCCTACATATATCTAAGAGCTTTTATGGCAAAGATTTCACCATCTTAAGCTGCCACATCCAAATACATACAGAAAGGCACAAGCAACAAGCTATAAAATTATTTATATGAAATAGAGAAATTAAACAATGCTGCCTCAAATCACATTTACAAACACATTACGAGCAATATTATGCAATTATTAAGCAAAATACATTACAGCAATATTGTAATACTACCCAAAAACACTCAATAAAGAAGAAACTATACTAGTCAAAATCATGAGCACACCTACCTACCAGGTCTTTTAAGGCTTTCTAATTTTTTCATATCCCTGGACAAAGTGAATACATCAGAAAAGTGTTGTAATTATATAGAGAATAATCAAGGAATAACTGTTAGTAAATTGGACTATCAACCAGACTTATTATCTGTTTATTGAATTTACTGGAAAATATTTACTCCGCATGTTTAAAAAAAACAAACCAGAAACCCCCCCAAAACTTCCAGCTAATTACGCATCTTAACTAAAATAAAGCTTTTAGGCACCACACGCTTACTTTAATACAACAGCTCTTATACTAATTCACACTCCTCTTTCCCACTCCCACTACTGGTCAAAAACAGATTTCTGCAGTGAAAAGAAATTCCCCTTTAAAAAGTGAATTGTGGGTAAAAGGATGCGATTATAAATAGCAGCTGGGTGGAGCTCCTTAAAGAGCGAAGGCACTTGAGTACCCAGGGTACTGGAATCACCAAGTGTAACACTTTCTTCTTCAAACTGAGCTAATTAAAGGACGTAAGACTGGATTATAACCACCAGAAAGGTAAAAGCGTAACTTCTCCCTGCAATAACTATGCAACTAGTGCACTAATATATGGTAATGTGGAGAGCATCTCTTCTGAAATTGCTATATATAATTATATATAATTCACAAAGACCAATGCCACGTAGAAACGCTCCAGTTTGTCAGGAAACATTTACCTTCCTCAGTCATTTGATGCTTTCTCTTCCTGCAGCTCCCTGAATTAATAAATATGTTCCAATTTTTCAAGAAATGAAGCAGGTATACTAGAGACAGAAATCTCATTCAGTACAGAAACACGAACATTCCCCAGAGCACGCTCAATCACACACACTAATTAACAGCCTCGCTAGTACCAGCAGCATATCGCTCCTCACTACCAGAAAAGGATGACATACTTTTTCAGTGGGTTTTGTTAATGTGTGCTAAAACAATTAGAGATTTAAGAATTTGAGGTTTTAACACTGGATCCTGGTGACCCCGCGCTCCCGGTCCGTCCATGGCACTACTCTCCCTTCATTAAAGCTCCTGCTCTTGATGGTTTTCCCTATCTCACTGCTGCATTTCACCGTGGATGATTCTCTGCTGTTTAGGATTACCAGGAGCAAAAAAAGCAGCAAATGCTCGAGAGTCCTGGCTGAAGGAGCCGCTGATGACCGACAGCATCACTGACATCGGCCACCCCAGAACACCACGGATACTGTCACACCAAGTGTTAGCGTGTCTTTGTCCATCACGTAGAGTTCAAGATTTCTCAGGACCTGAGAGCAAGGCTAAATTTGGGTCGTATTTCATAGGCCATCATAAAACACAAGCGCAATACCTTGAATTGCATTTCAAAACTTCACAGCATGGAGTAGTTCAAGAAAATCAGTCTCTTTTACAAATCACTGTCTCTCCTCCTTTCTCCACCTCCCCAAATCCAAATTTAGAGCCTGCTGAGCTGCTACAGTTAAACATCAAAGCTGAGGTAAACGTCAGATTAAGTGATACAGTTTTGTCAGACTAAAGCAATTTTTAGCAAGACCCATAAAATGGTGTTGAACAACCTTAGAGCCATTGGTAACTGCAGCATTAAACTATCATGATGATCGTTTTCAAAAGAGCTTACACCACCTGTAATTTTCAGTCACACCAACACAGACGGTGGAAAGCACCACTGGACATTAGGCTGTTATCACATACAGCAAGTTAGTTCATAAAGGAGAAAATCTTTATAAACAAAGATATGACACGGATGCCCGGAACACACCCCAGACTATAAAAATTTAATGAAGAGGACATTTAAATACGTTTGAATGCAAATGAAATTGTTTATTATCTTGTACCAGGTTATTAAAATTGTTATTTAAATAGCTGTAAAAGCAGGAGAGCTTGAGACTTCAAGAGGAGCATGGCTGCCCATTCCCACACAAGGTCATTTAGTCCCAACACAGAATTAACACCCCTTACCTCAAAGAAACTGAGCCAAAAGAGGCCAATGAGGTCAGCAGTGCAAAGGGTCTGACACAGGGAATTAGATCTTGAGCCTTCAGCGTAGACCCAGTTTTAAGCCCTTGTTTGCACAGAGGTACTGAAAGAAAGGCAGTAGGACAGGGCAAGGGAGAGCAGCGGCAGACAAGACCCTTCAGTGCAGGGCAAGGATGATGAGGATCATAAAGAGAAAGAAAAAACCTGAAGGTTGATAAAGTCAAGGGAGGGCAACCTGTTAGAAGAAGAGCTGACAAAGTTGGCCAATACAAGTGGATGATGGAGCACTGGCTCCGGCTTGACTCAGGAACAGACCACTGGAGACAAAGCCAAATATTCACAGGTTGCGGTGCACCTGTACCAATTGCTGCCTGTCTCTCCAGATTAAAGCAATGAGTGCAGTCAGGTGATGAACAGCCAGGCTAGGTGTTGTTTCAGAGAACTGTCCTGGACAAGAGATGGCGTGATTAGCAGCAGCCATGTGAGCGGGTGTGCTGCGCTATGCAACAGCTGCTGCCCTGCCCCTGAGGAGCACTTACAGCCGCAGCACCAGTGCCATGAAGGGTACGGCGTCAGGAGAAGTTGGTGGCCTAGAAAAGAAGGAGCTGCCCGAACGCCAAGCTGTTTTAGCTATACTGCTAGCTGTAGAAGAATGAAGGGAGTTCAGACCATTGCCCAACAAGGCTTTGGAAATGGTACGTCTCCTAGGCTATAGGCGTGTGTAAGGTGGAAGCTGGACTATGAAGTAGTTAATGCTCCAGATGACTACGTAATTCACCAATAAATAATGCCTCTAAAATGCAGAGATGATAGTCTGGGGAAACTGCTTTGAATGACAGGGCAGGAAAGACGGTGACTTTTTTCCTGTTCTTCCCTTCTGCCATTTTTATGAAATTGGAAGATGGTAGGGAGAAGGATTTAATCAAAATGGGTTTAAAAAACCCTTACTGCTTACTCTCAAAAAAACGTGCTCTTTTGAAAATGATCGTCATGACAGTTTAATGCTGATTTTTTTTAAAAAGCCACCAACAGAAAATACTACAGCAGTTCTTCATTTCCTGAAATACTTTCTATAATACCACAGATAAACTAACTCTATTTCAAAACTAAATGTATTAGACAACTCCTGTAGGCCAAGTACCATCAATCCTTTATAGTATTAGCTTTGCTATAAATGTAGATAGCAAGATTGCTACAAAAACTCTCCTAGAAACATCAGCTTCTTCCATATCAAAATTTAAATTAGGCAAAGAAAACGTGAATTCTAAAACTTCATAGAAAACAAGGAACAAGTGAGAGCAGCATAGGTTAACGTTCAGATACAACTTTATCTGATCTAATCAACTACTCTGAAATAACTATTTCAATACCTACTAAGCAGCATTTACAAATCCCACTTACAAATATGTGAGTACCTTTAGAAATACCTCAAGATCACTATGGTGAAGCATTACAACTCTGCTTCTGAAACTTCTTGATGCATGTTGATGACTTCTGTTGACTTCTCCCCACCCTTTACCTGATATTACTTATCGCTAATAAGCTGGTCTAGATCAGAAGACAGCCAGGAGGGGGAAGTAAACAACGTAGCACCACACCTGATCAA